ACTGCAGGTGAAACGAAATTGGTTAACACTCCGAATTTATTGAGACCTTCATCGGGCAGCACTGAGAGAAAATTCTCGAAAGTTCGTTTCCAGTGTATCCACGCTTTGGATGCTCCAGTATCACTTGGATCGACGCCGAAACGTTCAGGACGTAAAACTTTATCCATTTTTGGTTACTTGAATAAATTGTAGCGAAGAATATACACGATTAAGCCGTGAAAGTAGGCTTTATTCAAGTAAACCATGTGCTTACACAAACATGGCCGTCGTTACAAAACGTGAGATTCCGCTGACCTAAGGCAGGCACTTACACAGGTAACCCAACAACTAGTAATTACTAAAGAGTGTTTTTGTTAATGTTTGGTACATTAATCACTATTATCAGTACAATTCTCTAGATGTTCTTGCAGTTTACATTCTACCACACAAGATGAGCATTCCATACAAATCACCTTTTTGTACTTGCATGTCTCTTTATGTTTTTCAAGATCTTTTCTTTTGACTTGTTGCTTGCAGTTTTCAAATGTGCAGGATACTAGTTCAAAAGCACAAGTTTTTCTGTGGGTGGGAAGTTCTTGTAGTTTGCCAGTCCAGCAACAGTTCTCCTCATCACCTTCATCATCGCCATATATGAAAAATAATATTATATATATTTTCTTAATAAAACATAACGATTAAGTGATTATTACAAGGCTGGAAATCGAAGAGAAAAACATGTCTGAATATTTTATTTGCAATTGTGAAAGCTTCAAAGGAAAGCATGGGTTGCCTCTCATGCCACCTGCATTCAAGTCTTAAATATTTACGCACACACAGCAATCATATTTCTACTCACTTGTACTACTTTCTAGCTTGATTCTCTTATTTGCAGGACTCAATTCAGTATTCTCAATGCCTACTGGATGACAGTAGACATCTAGAACATCTATGATTCCCTTGACAGTTAGGTTAGGCACGAGAGAACTTTTGTTGAGATGGGTGTTGTCTGCTGGACACCTATTGTTTCTTTCCAACCACCTTTGGATACATTCTCCACAAAAAGTGTGACCTGCAGTGCAAGTCATAGGCTCCTTGAAAATCTCATGGCTGCAAGAATATACAGAAAGCACAAATACATATCTGACAATAGCACTTATACACTGCATAATTAATGACAATCACATAGTGGTAAATGTACAGTCTATTATATTATAGTGCAGTTTTCAAGGTTAAGAGCAATCTTAAGTGGAATGGGACCAATATATCATGGTCTCAGAGCAGCCAACGACTGGAATAATCTTAACCAAACACTAGGAACCAGCTGAGTTGACTGAGTTTACCAAAAGGAGTTATGGGTCAACTATTTTTGGGTAGCATTTGCAGAGCAGGGACTTAATACGATGCAGATTTCTCTTGTCCACTGAATAGGAATGTTGCCAAGAGTTCAACTATAGTAGCATTTAAGATCAATTTAAAGAAATGAATTTTTTGGTTCTCTTGGAAGAATCATGGGAAATGCTCATCAAAATACAATGCCCAGTTCTCAATTTTGATTGATTGAGTTTGATCTGAAGGTCAACTCAGTTGGAAAATTAATAGGAACTTGAGTATTTTTTTTAATTTAAATTTTTTATAGATTTTATACCTGTTCAGTGTTTATTAGTAATATATTTATTGTTTTAGGACCCTAGTGTCAAAACCACTTTTGTCATCTAGATTACAGTGTAAATTTAATATTATCATGTAAACACTCCTAAAAGATAAAGCAAGTAAGCTTATATATATATACAATTATTAGATGGAAGAGTACGGCTTTTCTGAGCTAAGTTAAAGTTTTAGAACTGTCCTGTTCAGTTTCAGAGTTTCCTATAGGTTCATTATGAGCTTAATCTTACTGAATATCCCAATCGATTTAATGAACGAAGGCTATCGAAGGCCATCTCTATGAAACTAAATACCATGTATTCATTTGATTTTGGCTCGCTTTATACTCACCATATAGGACACTGAAAGTTTTGATCAAGTTTTTTGGAAAACTGCTCATGCTTGTATCCCATATCTGTGATCTTTCAAGGTTAAATTCGCCCTTCTTTAAGGGTAAATTTATCGAAACTTACTAAAGAAACAGAATACATTCTGATTTTGGCGGGAAACAAATAAACCATGGGGATTTCTGGGTAAACCCCATGAGTTATCACACGAGCCAACCACAGGGATCCCAATGTAAATTAAAGTACTACACTAATAAACCAGGGGTATATAATAATAATAATAATAATAATAATAATAATAATAATAATAATAATAATAATATAAAGAGGCTTGTAAAGCGCCTATACAAGCCGGTTCTAGGCGCTATAAAAAATAATTAATAAATACGATACAAACATAGATTACAAATCATAAGCAAGTTTAAATAAATAAGTCTTAAGTTCAGTTTTAAAAGATTCAAGAGAGGTATTGTTCCTCATAGGATTAGGCAGAGAGTTCCACAACACAGGAGCGGCAACAGTGAATGAACGATAACCATAACACTTTAGATTGTACGGTTTTACAGACAGCAATACTTGAGACGACGAACGGAGATTACGAGCAGGACAATATCTATTTATTAATTCTTGAATGTACATAGGAGCAGAGCCATATAGAGCTTTGAAGGTTAGTAGGAGAATTTTAAACTTTATTGGATATTCAATAGGAAGCCAGTGCAGGTTGATGAGAATAGGAGTAATGTGATCGCGTTTCTTGGTTAGAGTTACAAGGCGGGCAGATGCATTTTGTACAGATTGAAGACGGTTAATGAGGTATTTCGGAAGGCCAAATAAAATAGAGTTATAATTGTCAAGTTTTGAAGTTATGAAAGCATGAACAAGAATTTCAGTGGACTTTACKGAGAGATATTTACGAAGTTTAGCAATGTTACGAAGATGAAAGAAGGCAGTTTTGCAGGTGTTCTTTATATGAGGTACCATGGTGAGAGCAGAATCAAATGTGACACCAATATTTCTAGCTTGAGTAGAGGGGACAATTTCATCAGGACCAAAAAGAAGATTTTGACT